ACCTCACTGTAGTTTATTTTGGAAAAGAACAAATGAATGAAGTCAAATGGATACTTGAAAATACTTCCAAGTAAGTACCTGAGTGTCTGGTGTGCTGTTCATACACAGCAATCATACCACGAATTGGAGACTAGATAGCTGTCCAAACTCGTAGTTGTGCCAAAAAGTTCTAAACTGCATTGGAGAAAATGGCTTTCTTTCCTTTGTATCAGACAAAAAAGGTGTTACCCTGACAGTCCCATATCTGTGGGTTTGTGATGTTGGTTTTTAGAACCACAAAGCAGATTTTACTGAATTTACCTCAGTGCAGCTTTTTTTTTTCCACACTGGTAACTTCTTTAGTGCTTTTGAAAGTGTCTTTAACTGTTAGGACTGAAAGTTGACTTCCAAAGGCAGGTGCAGACAGTTTCAGTAGAGCTTACAGGAACTAGATGCTTTTGGCCAGGTCTGGTCTATTGTGTTTGCTTGCATAGCTGTGTTTGTCAAGATCATGTGGCAGCATAGCCTTTTGTTATCATCTCCATGTAGGAGCAAGACCCTTGTATAGATACAGTAATGCAACCACAAGTATTTTATATTTGCCTATTTGTCCATCTAAGCCTTGTCGGGATTTTTGTGAGGTCTGCTCAAAGAACATCTGTGACAGGAATGCTAGCGTAGGAGTACACAGGTCAAGCTCTGAATGTAGACATAGTGGAAATCTCAAGACTCAAAGAGGACATCTTTTCCCTCAAACTGCTCTCAGAACTGTGATACTACAGATTTCTAGGTTAATTGTTTCATATTGGGTTCCCGCCCCTGCTTGTATTAAGAGCTGGAAGGACAGGGTAAGTTGCTGAATATTTTCCTTCTCCTAGGTCAGCCAACTTCAAGAACTTCACCTTCATCCAGCTGAATGAAGAATTTTCCAGGGGCAAAGGATTAGACATTGGTGCTCGATTTTGGAAAGGAAACAATGTTGTTCTCTTTTTCTGTGACGTGGACATATACTTCACAGCTGAATTCCTGAACTCCTGTAGATTGAACACACAGCCAGGTACTGCTACAGATGAAGTGTATTGTCTTTCAACAGATTTTTGCCTATTGTGTAGCAGCCTTCACCAGAGTATTCTTGCCTTTGAATTGGTAATGAAGCTGCTGTAAATCATTCTTGAAACTTAGAGAACTAATTAAGACATGTATAAAAATTCCACTGCTGGTTGGCTTTTGAAAGGTTTTAACACTCCTGTTCCCACTGTGATTGAATTTCTTGCCTTCAGCACCTGTGCTTTCTGGAACAGGATCTTTTTGTTAATTATAGCCTCACATTCACATTCTCATGCAAAGAACATAGGCTCAGTCTAAAACTTGTGTGACTTTGTACGGATTTGGTCTGGCCTGGACAGCATCTTGTAAGAGAGAGAAGTGTGTTTTTTGCAGCTTTTTAAATAAAAATGACCCACTGTCATTTCCAGGGAAGAAGGTGTTTTATCCTGTTCTCTTCAGCCAGTATAACCCCAGTATAATTTATGGCCACCATGATTCCATCCCATCTTTAGAACAGCAGCTGGTAAGTACATGCTTCTCTGAATGCCTGCTTTTATTTGGACAAAGCATTTTTTAAAGGTGCAGGTGCTCTTGGGTAGCATTTCCCTATTCCTTGTGCACAGTGAGTACCACACAGACAAAATTAACTACAGCAGTCACCTTACTGTGAGTTCTGCAGTTAAGTTTCACAGGGAAGTATCTTGGTACCATTTATTTTAACCCATGTTTGATGTTTTATACACGGAACGTAAGAACTTAAACTGTGCCTGCTTCTCTGCCAGAAGGGATTTTCTAATTAGCAAACAATTCCTCCATGGTGTGCTGTCTTGGGGTGACAGTCCCTGATCTTGCTCTCATTTCTTCCTTGCACTGAACCGTTTCTTTGCTTGCACCTTGAAGAGCTGACATTTGTAAAAAGCATAGATATTCTTAGATGAGTCAGTGAAAACAGAATTCCAGGGGCTGTCACAGTTATTCCCCCACTTACTTGAATGCCTACAGTGGCTTTTCCCATCCCACAGTTCATGATTAAACTGCCTGTGAGCAGACAGTGTGTTTCTGAAGTGTACCATGTTGTCTCAGAGTCAAATGACATGCTTGGAGCTGTCCCTTCTGGCTTTAATCTGGCACTGATGTAATACAGCGTAACTCCACTGATTTCCATCTCACCTGCTTATCTTTGGTGTGAGAACAAAGCATTATTTTTAAAAACGTTGCCATAAGGCATATGATTAAAACATGTAGTTAAACCCAGGTGAATGTCCTTGATGAGGAGGAAGCAGTGGTGAGGAAGAAGCAGAGCACACAGACGAGAGGTTCACATGAACGCTAGTGGCAGAGCCGTTGCTTGGCACTACTGCAGATGTTATTCTCCATTTTCTTGTGCTCTGGCATTGCATTGTCTTGAAGCTAAAGGGGTGATAGAAGTGGTGGCTTTCCCTTTACGTACACCTTCCACTCTTGCTTCTCTCCAGAGTCAGCAGGTCACAGTCCTCTTCCCACTAGTGCTGGTAAGTGGCTTGAGTTTTCAAATTGAAGCATAAGCCAGCTATGCAGCTTCATTCAGTTCCTCTGGGTCAGGTCCCAGCCTGCCACAGCTGCCCCTTTTACTGCCAGGCACTGCACCTATCAGGGCTCATCCTGTCTCAGGCTGGACACTGTCTCCAGAGCATCCCAGCTTCTACTGTTGTTCTTGGTAGGTAAGAATTAGGGGTGTTGTGAGCCCAGCAACAGTCACAGCTGAAAAAGATCACTAGGGGTTTGAGTCCAGTCTACTGTCATCACTACCCCCACCTCGTGCAATCCCTCTAGAAAAATGAAGAATGAGAGTTTGAAAAGTCCACCCAAAATATTTTAAAATATTTTTTTGTCTACTGCTCCCTGTGTTATCCAATAGGTAGCCAGAAAGTCTTTTACTGAAGAGTCTGGAAAATCCTTTCCACTGTTTTTTTTTTTTTTTCTCAGAGGAAACTTGTTCTGATAATACCCTGGGATTCACATTAGCTCTTCCCTCTCTGATGAGACCCCGTCAGGGATCCTCAGGCTTGTAAGCACTGTGTTTAGGAAATGAAATAGAGTTTAGCTCTTAAGCTAGCATAAATTCCACAAAGTATGCTGTCAGGACTGTGCTAATATTTATAGCTAATATTTGAATCGTAAAATGTGATGCTTATGTCAGAAAAGCCTCTTGATTTAAAGAAGTACTGCCAATCTCATTTTTATGTAGATTTTTATATTTTCAGCCCACATTAGTTCCCAGGCATGAGGCCAGATCTGTGCCATTAAAACAAGACAGCGTTAGCTCTCTGTCCTGGTACTTGGTCTGCTGAGAAAAAAAAGCCTTCAGTCTTTGAAAGAATTTGATTTGTGCAGCAGCCACTTGCACTAATGGGAAATAATAATGCTAATGCATACAAGTAGCTTGCTGTAAGGGCATCGTTATGGAGATTTCTTGTTACAGGCAGACCTGACAGATAAAATCTTGCTTCCTTTTAATTGGCTTCTGCAGTGGCTTGGCTTTTTCAAGGAAAGGAGAAATGAGAAAAGAAAGAGATAGCAATGTGAGCAATAAAATAAAAAAAAAGCCATTGAAGTGACGAGGGTTATGAACAAAAAGGGGAGGCATGAACAAGAAATCAGGAGAGACTCTTTTGGAAGAGGACTTTTCGGTAAAGGAAATGCTGGGATTCATAAATCCAGAAATGGAAATTCTGTCTCCTCATCTTCTGTAACTTTGTTGCAAGTGAAGCCAAAATTTTCAAAAATAGCTGCTAAGGGGTAGGTTTGTAACCAGACTTTCAAGAGTGTGAAGTACTGCTGACTTGCTTAGAGGATTTAAATACCTGTCCCAGTCCCTTGAAATTCTTGGATGTCTCACCAGATTGGCTTAGGTCACTCACACACATGAATTATGACCTTAGGGATCGATACTTGGATATCTGCTTTTGAAAATGATAGCTGTGGTTTCTCACTGCTCTGATTTTCTACCTGTAATATGTAATGTTTTCGTGGTCCATCTCAGTTATGTAGACTGCACATTCATTATTACAAAGGCTTTTATGGGATATATAACTACCACCTAACATTTCTGGACTTCAATTTTTGCTGGGTTTAGCAGTTCTGTAATGGAAAACTATTCTTACCACTTTCCTAATTTTTGTCAGAATTAAGGTAATCAAAAAGCTGTCAGTTGTGTGATCAGATTAGAACCACTGTTTTCTTCCAGAGCTTTTGTGGTCCACAATCCAGGTGCCACCATCTGCTCTACAGTGATCTGGCTTCCCTGTCTTACCAGTATGTTTCTTATGTCGGATTTGAATCTCGCAGAAACTAACGATTTTGGAGAATGTTTTGCCTGTGAAGAAGCAAACTCCAGAGAGTGATATGATATTGCTCCACTTGGTCTACAACAGCAGGAGTGGAGCGAAACCTGATCATTCTGTATCAGGAGATTTACCCATGATAGTTAATGACACGGCTGGTTTTTTGGGGCAGAAACATGTAATGCATATCTACAAAACATGGTTCAGGATCAGCCATGGATTTACATGGGGAAGAATAAAAGGCTGGTTGCTCCTATTTCTGACCACATTCAGGGACTTGTCTGCTGCTCACACTGAAAGCATTTCTGCTCCCATATAAACATTCCTTTCCCTCCATGCAGATTATTAAAAAAGAAACTGGATTTTGGAGAGACTTTGGTTTTGGGATGACTTGCCAGTACAGATCTGACTTTATCAACATAGGTAAGAAAAATACACGCCAATACGTCTGCCTTTTTACTGAAACATAGAAAATTGTGATCAGCTTCCCTTTCCTTGGCCAGTGTGTCTATGCCTCTAATTTGCAGCAGTGCTCTGGTTAGATGTTCAGACTATTCCTAGGTGCCATAGAGGTTATCAGAATCTAAGTGCTGCTCAGTACAAATAAAGCAATTTTGTCTGATAGTGAAAGATTTGAAACTAAGAAATTTGGACACTTTAATTTTGGCAGAAAGTATGGCTGTTTTAAAGGGCTGACTGGAGCCAGAGAACAGCTGTAGTGCAATTAATAGTATTGACTTTGCTAGTATATATTTCTAGTTTTATTTTGGATTTTGTTTGTGTCAGGTGGCTTTGATCTGGACATTAAAGGCTGGGGTGGTGAAGATGTACATCTGTACCGCAAATACCTTCACAGCAACCTCATCGTGATCCGAACGCCTGTCAGGGGTCTCTTCCATCTGTGGCATGAAAAGCAATGTCTGGACGAGCTGACCCCAGAGCAGTACAAAATGTGCATGCAGTCTAAGGCCATGAACGAAGCTTCTCATGGCCAGCTTGGGATGCTTGTTTTCAAGCAAGAGATTGAGACACACCTGCACAGACAGAAGCTGAGCAGTAAGAAGACATGAAGCCAGAAAGGGAGGCAAAAAGCCTCTGAATTGGACCATAGGGTGTTCTGGAAAAGAGTTGCTAACAAGAAAAGACGGGGTGAGACTGAAAGAGGATGGAGATTACAGCAGGATGGCAGCAAAAGAAGATGAGGGAAAGTGCTTGTTCTCCCTTCTTCTGTTTTTTTCTTAATAGGGCTTTTAAGTACTCCATTAGCCTGACTGTTCAGCGCTTGCTTCTTGTGGAGACTTGAACACTTGATGAGATTCAAGGTCACGGAGACAAGGAACATTACATAAATGCCAGTATTCACAGTAACAAATGGATGTGCTCTTCCGTTGAAATATTTGTAAGATGTGTACAGTTATTTAAAGGATAGACTCTTTGGTGGGCCAATAATAATGAGTTATTTTCTACATCTAACCTGACATATCTAAAAAAGGGCTACTTTTGGAAAAGTACAGAGCTCCTGCTCTGAGAAGGAGATCTGATTGTTAATGACAGTTAAGCTGGAGTGACCAAAAATCTTTTTCCCTTAAGGGGCTGGGGCAGGGGGACAGCAGCAGTGCACTAACAGGGTATTCCTGGTTCATTCAGAGACAAGAGGCATCTCAGAAAGTGCTTTCTAAAATTCAGAAAGAGAAAGCCCTACCTGTTAAGTGTGATGTTTCAAAAATGCTGGAGGGTAGTGTTTGTTCTCTTCTGTGGACAGTGAACCAAAAGCAATGAGCCATGTCTGTATCACATGAATCAGATGGTGTATTTCTGCTTTAGAATACTGTAAGTATCTCAAGATTTATTTTTAAATGAAGTTGGTTTTGCTTGGGAATTATTTTGTCATACTTCAGGTTTTCTACTTCTAGCCTTACTAGGAGCCTTCCAACACTTGGAAAATGCTCTGCAGATCTGTGTTTCCTGTGGATGGGAACTGGGTTCAGATGAGTGAAGTGATTTTTCTACGCAGCCTGGGTGCTGGAAGGCAGAAGCTTTACCATGCTGAAGAAAAGGACATACATATCAACCTGCAGTACTGATTTAGCAGGAGGCTTTAAACTCTGAATGTCAGATACCAAAATTGATGAACATTTTCTGACTTTATACCAAAGTATTCCTTCTAAACCAAATATAGAATCTTGCCCAGGGCATAGCAAGCTTTTTGTAATTAACAAAATAAATTTTTGTGATGGATTACTGGACCCTGCAAATTCTCTTATGATAATTATAGGTGCATCCTAAAAATTAGTCTCCCTCTTAATAGATTTTTTTTCACTTGCCTAAAACTGTTGAAAGCATGAGTTACTGCTCTTATAAAGCATTTTCTTTTAATGCTGACTGCTGTTTATCATTTTAATATATACTAGCCAACAAAAACTGCATGGGCTTGGAAATCCCATTTGCTTACCTAAATGCTGTTTCTCCAAGTGGTCTCTTTGTTTTATAGCTTCAGATTAATCCAAGGCAGTCTGAAACCAGATTCTAATTTGGTTTTTGGCTTGTAAAAGCTGGGGGAAAAAATATGCAAGATAGCACTGAACAGTGAATAAAATGCTATTTGTCGTGCCACTGTGCGGTGGGAAGAGCGCTTATGAACCTCTTTTGAAAGCACTGCATGCAGAATCTGCAGACAGAGACCATGCTACTGTAAGTACCTTTTCCCTTGACACATGTTTACATGTGTTTGTCTTGTGTTGGATGCAAATGATCTGCATTGCACTTCCCTTGCAAATCACCAAATGTCCAAAAACACTGCAAAAGTACAAAAAGAATGGAAACTCTGTATGCTTAAAAAACCCAGCCCCCAAATACATCACTTACCATAAAAACTTCAGCCATAACTCAAGTTGCTCCTCCAAAGAACTTTTTTGTTCTCAGAATACATGATAAATTGTTTATAAAGGGCTTTGTTTTGATGGAGTAACTTTACAAATATTATGCAGTAGGAGGACACAGGCATGGCTTGTTGAATGCATATGAGAGTTATGGTAACTGGGATGCTCCAAGGTGATAGTTGTTCCTACAGTCCCACTTAACCTCAATTTGAAACTGGATGAGGTATATTATGAAAGTTTCATAATCATAACCTGCCTCAAGCCTAGCCTTAGCTATTTCTATGATGTTTTTTCATTATCTTCCATTAGGTTTCCCTAAGCCCTCAGCAACTTAATGTAACTTTGAGGTTGGCCACACTTGTAGAGCAGGGCTACACCAGATGACCTCCGGAGGTCCCTTCAAACCTATATTAGTCTCTGATTCTAAGCACTGTGCACCTGTAAATTCAACACTTTGTTACTCTGGGTACCTTAGCAAGCACGTCATCCAGTCCCTGTCAGAGTTTCACAAGGTATGTTTTTAAATAGCACCTTTGTGATTCTCTTGCATGTCCTTTTCCACAGAGATGCTGTTCCTCCTGCCAGGAATAATACTGTGTATGCAGTTCCTGTTCTTTGCCTGCAGAAGCCAGTTTGGCAAGAGGTGAGATTGAATCAATGATAGAGCGCGCCAGCCCGCAGTCCTTGGCCACCTCAGTGATGTGCAGGAGAATCTAATCACAGCAGAAGTCTGGCAGGGCTCTTTTAAAGGTGGAGACTGCACTGATATGAGAGGTGAAGAACAACATGAGAAAGGGAAGCTGCTGTTAGCTACGCTTCTGTGAGCCAAATGGAGTTGTAACAGGTCTTCCAGACCAGTTAGAAAAAGATGAAATCCAAAGAGAGCAGCCAACAGAACCATAGCTTTTGCCAGGCAGCTCTCTACCTTCCTTGTCCCAGAAGCAGCTTGTGATCTTTCTCAGAACGGCAACTGACTGGTTCTTAGTTGGGGAGGGAATAGAGATCACCCTGTGTAGACGGGGAGGCCATATGGGGACTCCTTGCTTTAATTTTTGACAACTGTTGCATGCTCTGGTTAAAGGCATAGAGGCATGGGGCAAAACAAATTACCATATCCTTTCAGGTGTCGTGATCTCTCCAGCAAGCAATTTTCAAATGTGACGACTTTTGTAATCCTTGCACAGCATCCCTTGAAGAAAGAAAGATTCTACAGAGAAGCTCCCCAAGACAAGCAGCACCCTTGATTCCCGACCACTGCAAGTCATCCTTGCTCCACAGACTTTCAGGGTAACTGGATTTCAGAGCAATAGAAGAGCCAGTCCTGAGGGCATCTGTTCTGGCAAGGGTGCTGCCTTTGCAGTCAGTGCAGTAATCTAAATGTGTAGGTATAAAACTTCAGGTTTCTTCCCTCACAGCAGATTCACAGTGAAGCTGTGAGTCTTTAAAAAACTGAGGCATGATTCTCAAACATGTGGAATAGATGTGAACACTGACAGTGGTTTTCCCTGGGCTCTACTGAGCCAACATTTGCAAATAAGTACTTATAATATAAAAGGTATGTGAAACTACCGGTCCACTGGTCAGCAGGTCAAACCCTGAGGAGTTCCAGTATAGATCTTAGAGCTAAAATTGATTGTGTCCTGCTGTGTCCACGCCAGATCAGCCTGCACCTTATTTCTGCAAGTTAATGCCCTGCCTCTCAAACTGACTTTTTAAAGGAGACTTTGTCACCTATCTTTACCAGCCCGTAAGTATATAAAACACTTCATGATTTGTCTCCAGTAGGACAACAGCTATCACATGTTCTTCACATGAGAACAGATGCTAACTTTTCTCTAGGATCTCTAAATGACCTTTCATTGTGGCTATATTTTTCAGAAGAAACAGTTCATGAAGAGGGAAGGAGGGATTTTTTCCCCCCCTACAAATAATCTAGCACCCCCTCTCATGATTGATACAGATTATGTTGAAAATATCTCTTTGATACATGTGATACAGTGCTCAAGAATCTTCTTAAGTCATTTGCCCTGCCAGAGTGTTGTTACTTTCAGAATCTCGCTTTACATTAAGGCTTTATCTCTAGCAAGTTAAACCTGCTGTAACTGGAGTGCAGTTATCCCCTCTTTCCTTGTATGGAAACCACCTATCATCAGCATAGTTGTAAATTTTAAGACCAGATGACTACAACAATTTCTTTTAATCTGTATTCTGCAAAACACAGATCAATATAAGACTGAAGTTTTTCACTGCTTCTTCAAGTTAAGCAGAGTAGCCCTGATCCAACAGAAAGAAGGGAACAGATAAACAACTGAAACAAGATTGAGTCTTGTTCACTATTTGAGGATTGCATCTCTAAAAAATGTTGGCAGATTCACATCACAACCCTCAGCTGTACAATTTGTCACGTTCAACAACATGAGGAAATCTAGGTGAGGACTAATTTAGTATGTGATTCTGTCCAGCCTCTCCCCCAATATTCTGACTTATGTATTTAAAGAGCAGTGTAACAGATACGAAGAGAGAACATTATGTTGAAAGAACAAGTTCTATGTTAAAGTTTACACCAGATGCATCTCAGTAATCTGGACACAACTTGCAATAAATAGCTCCATTTTGGAAAATAGCATTCTTTACTGGCAAACACTCTTCTGTAAACTGTACTAATACTGATATAGGCGCTGCTTCTTACATTTTTTAGGCTCTGTGCATGTGGTAGTCTTTCATACAAATTCCTGTATCCCTTCTCCTTTCCCTTTCAAAAGGTTGATCCCTCTCTATGCAGAAAGGCCAGTGTGGGATTTAAATACAAGTTAAAAGAGTGGGGATCTATATTCAGAGGCTAAAGGAGTTAAAATAAAGCACTTTTCATGAAAATCCCTCTTCACAGAGAACACCTTTAACTGAAAGGCACTGAGGGTTTGCTTGGATGTTTGGCTTGAACATGCTTGATTCCAAGGGCACAGCATTTTACAGGATTAAGCTTCACATTATGCAAATTACTATATCAAGACCGATCACCTCTCCAAGTTGTCTTGTGCCTTCAGGAAGGTATGATCTCATTCAACTGTAGATATTAATCTATTTCCCAGATGGCACACAACCTTGCATTCAAGAACAAAAGGCAGCTCGAATACAGAAGTCCCCCAAGAAATCTGGAAAAACCCACTGAAAATACGTGACAGTATTTCCCT